GTGGAGAAAAAAACTATAAATGAACAGGAACCTCACAATGTCACATGGATGACACCACTGTCATCTGCAAGTGCAGTTTGCAAACAATGCACCCATGCGAGTAATAGTTTAAATTAGAATAATATCCTGTATAAAAAAAATATATATATTTGTGGATATTATATAAGCAGCAATAAGGATAACTTAGAAAATACCGCGCTTCTTCCATGGCAGTGAATCATAGTTAGGAATAAGGATAAAACCTCTTCCTCTCTGTGGTTGAACAGCAGAAAGACACCAGCTAGATTTAATTGAAACAGTTCTAATGAAAATTTTAAAATGCTGATTAACTGTCTCAAGTTTCAGTAAAAAGGCAGCAGGAACACGTCTGGATTAAGATTTTCAATATGAAACTCACATTGGGATTTGGGCATCCATGTTTGTCATTCTCAGTGATTAGTTTTATTTGTTAGTGTTGTCAAATGTTTTCTGTGCCTTTCTATTTTAATAACTAAGCAGCTCCCCATAAATTTGATCTTGCTAAATTAACTGTTCGGGTTTCCCATATGCTGCATGGATCAAATTGTCTTTTGATTACTAGTCTGCACTGTCCGTTCTGTGGCAAAACTGCCTGCAGTTCACAAGCAAACAGCATTTCAGCTCAGCGAAGGGCAAGACTAAGGTCTATTTTAAACTGTACATGACAGAAATTAAAAAAATACTTTCATGGAAATCATATTATAAACAAGTTTTTGCAGCAGTTTTTGTTGACAATTAAGATGTTAATTAAAATTTCACCTAAGAAATGAGGGTTCTACTCTAATTTTGCATACCTTCTTCAAGGTGAAAGTTGAAGAAAACAGATGTTCTGGTCAGCTGGAGATAGTGGTGAGGCAGCTCCCAGCAGGATTATTGGGGTACAATATGAAGCTTCACTGCACACCAGGTAGGTAAAAGGCATCCATAAAACATCATTTCATGTCTAATTAAAACAAAACAAAACATAACAAAAATATATTCTGGGGGCATAGCAATAAAACTGCAGGATGTCCAAGCCAGCCTCCATAGATTGAGACTATGCTTTATGCACCTAAATAAGTAAATCTTGGTTTACTGGGATTTTTAAATCATCTAAGCAGGTTAGGCAAGAGTTCCAGCTGGGTCCAGACGAATCATCTCAAAGATGTAACCACCCATATCAACAAGCACTCAACTGCAGAATTCTCTACAGAAGTTTCTGCATGCTAAAGACGGGAAGAGCTAATGTGTGTCCACTCTGTTGTGATCTCAGGGAGGGAATGTCAAAGGAACAGAAAGGTAAATCTTCTCTTGGGCAGCCTTTTCTCTCCCTGTCCTCCCCCATTTTTATGAAGTAGGAAGACTACACTGGTAGGTCCCATCAACAATGGGGCAGCTGAACTGAGACTGACGTTGAAACCTATTTTGCTAGGCAAAGGCTGTCAAAATAGGCTATTCTGGAAGTGATGAATGGTGGAGGGCTTACATATTTCCAAAACATTGTGATTAGTTTTACCAGTAAATGGTATTTTGTAAACATCAACCAAAAAAATTATTACAACGTCATCTACAAGAATAAGTATTATGTTCCCTTTCCAGGTAGAGAACATCTGGCACCTCCTAGTGAATATCTCTGAGAAAGTCTGTGGCAGAGCTGGGACAGGAACACACAGCTTCTTACTGTAAACCTTGTGCTTGGTCCCTTTACCCATGGTTCCTTACATATGTCTTTGTAACCTCCCTCTCTTCCCTATTTGTAGAAGTTGTTCAGCCACAGTAAGGCGTGTGTGTTGGTAGTGGGTTTTTTTGGTGATATGCCTGAACCAACCCCCTAATCTGTCACACAAAAATCAATTTATAGTATGCTTACACAAGGCAATGGGGCATGATAAAATCATACCTGAATTAGTGCCAGAACAGGAGCGTAGCCACTTTGGCTTGATGCTGTCCCCAAAGTAATTAGCCCTGATGAGAGGCTCATTAACTAGGGCACACAGTCACACAAGTGCAGCTGCAGAGTTTTGAGGATCCATGCTAAATACTAATACTGCAGCTGATACTGTGCATACTAGGTGGTGTTAGTTTAGGATTCGTGAGCAAGATAGTCCCTCCCTTACTTATCTGTTACGTTATCCTTGTTCTTTAATTCCCTTCCAACCTGACAAACTGTAAAACATATTCTGGTCCCTGAGCCATCCTTACCCCTACTCGTTAGCCCTGGCCAGTGCTAACCACAAACCTTTCACATTTAAGGGACCATTGTAAATAGTTTTATACTAACTCATGCCTATCAAAGGTGCACAAGGCAGATCTGATGGCTCAACTTGATCACAAAGCATCAAAGGCAGCTGAAAATACATATTTACATAGATTAGAAGACAGTCCCAGCACACAGATCAGACCTGTAATATTTCAAGTATTTGAATCTCATTCCCTACGTTTCTGCCCTGCACTCAGTGCGGAATTACACTTATTCTTCCTTTTTTGGCTTCTGATTTTTTTACAGAAAGTTAACAGTCTCCTCATCACCAAACCAGTCCAGATAATGCCGTGCCTATAGCTTTGTCTCTTTATCTCATTCCGTTTATATCTGATCGGAAAGGGTCAAAGAAGACCTGCCTATACCTTACACCAGTTTCTACTTTTATCTCTTCTTGCATTCCACCTTTCATTCTTGTATTTCCCAAGCGTATATAACAAACGTCCCACTTAACTTTTCTGCAGTAAAACCATCTGAAGCAACTGAGCTATAAAGGCACTACCTCCTCTATTCATCCTTTAAGGGACTCGTATTCCCAACTCCGAATGTATTTTTATGTTTGTCTAATGCTTGTACTTTCACTTCTATCATCTTTTCAGGTTAATATGCATTAGACCTGGTTCCATAATGAAATCTCATTATGTAAGCCACTTCTTTACATACACACAAGCTGGCAGAGAGAGAGGAGCATAGATCAGTGCTGGTCAATCGATCACAGCTCTGAGACCGCTTACAGTCACTAATTCTGAAGGAGCTTGAATTTGTTTCCAAACTTTGTGCTTATGACCATCTCACCATAATAAATGCTGTACTTAATGCAGAATAATTACTTATTTTGATTTTTTAATGTTCTCCAATACATTTTTTTGAATGAGGTAACAAAATGTTCAAAAGCTAACTTTGAAATGCTTTGTGGAATGGTTTTCATTTCACAAAGAATCGCTGAACGCTACTGCCCAAATTCTGCTAAACACAATGGTAGTGCAACTTGTTGAGGGTGCTGCAGGAGACATCCCTCAATGGCTGGGAAAAGCTGTTTTAGAGAAGCTCATGATCTAATAAAATTCTTTTCATTGTTCATGAAGAGGGAGGGACTTGGCTAAAGTAACATTTAATTTACGCGAACACACCTTGTCACCCACTGGAGCTGGGGTTTTTTGTTGTGGGTTTTTTTTTTCTGCTAAGAATGAGAACTGGCGCTTTTCCAAGGAGGTGTGTCAGAGGTAAACGAGCATGGCACTGAAGTATCCTATTGTGTTGTAATAGTCTTGCTGGAGACCTGAAGGTGTGTCTCTGCCTTTATAAATACCTGCTGCTTTCACAACTATCTCTGATTCTTTTGAAAGAGACGAGTTGCATCGAGACGTTTGGATATCTCCAAGCCCTGTGCAAGGTATGTCTTTTAGTTATCTTCCTTTTACACTGTTTCGCTTGCAACAGAAAGTTATTGTCACATCATTTTTCATTTTAATGTTATTAGTTGCTGTGTTTGCAACAGAACTGTAAATGCTACATTATTTTCTCTAAAGAGGGTTTTACGGAGTGGAAATCTCTGTATATAGCACAAGGCAGGAAGCAAGTCAAGTAAGAACTATGCAAAAGTAGGACCTTGCTCACATGTGCTGCTACCTAGGTATCCAGGATTCTAAATTTTTGTAACTAAAGATATTTGCAGGTAGTTGAATGTTGAAGTAGATTCCTTATTAGCACAACTGCACATGAATTTCTGCTTCCTAACATGGAAACTTGGCTACAGAAATGGCTATGATGGAAACATCTGAAAAATGCATTTAGAGATTTAATTAGCTAAATGCCAGATTTAAATCGTCTACTGTTACAGTATGCTGTGATCCTGAAAGCTGCTTTATAAAGAGAAACACCTACAGAAACAAATGTGCTCTGTGCAGGCACAGGGATCAGCTCAATAATGATTTGCTAACTAGCGATATTTCAAAACTGATGTTGCGTATTTGTCCCTTGAATTTAGCAGCTTTAGACACAGCCCAGTACACTGCAGGTGTCTTCAAAAGCAAAAAAAAAAAATAGTTCTGTTTGTTTAATCAACAAGGCAGGAAAAAATGCATCAATAGTTACTTTTTGGTGTCTGGAAAGACTATTATCATTATTTTTTTCAAGAGAAAACTGAAATACTTGCATAACCAGTGAATTCAGACAATTTTCAGAATGCCTAAGAAATAATTTTACTCAACTTGAACCAAATGGTCTCCTTTCTGTCTGGCATATTTTTGAAGAATAGCCAGAGGCTGGAGTCAAAATCACTTATGTGCTATTTACAAAATGGGAGGTCATGGGAACAACCACTGCTTTACAAGTTATAACTTCAGATATCCGTCTGAGATTGACAAATCCGAGCTTCAAATTCCTTCTCTGACTGCAGGAGAGATTTTACCTCAGTCACTGGGCAGTAGCACGTCCTGGGAGTGACTCTCTTCTGTTCCACATTGCATAGATAATTGAGTAATTGTATCAGAAGGACTTACTCCATAGCCATCTACAGTTCTCAAGGATAATACTTAATGGTTCTAGAAACCAGGTATTATTCACACAAAGGACAGAGGATTTTGCCAAAAACATCATTTTAATAGGTATCAAAGAGCAGTGCAATACCACGTCTGAAATACTGTAACTGTCAAATGGAGTCCAGCATTAAGTGAAAATGTTTTTATATTTTTGTTTATTTATTTGTTTGTTTTGAAGGCAGATAACAATCAAAACAGAGACCATGAAGATCAAAACCTTTGGACTTCTTTGTGTGTTGGTTCTGGTCTCCCAGATGCTACTAGCCAACTGTGAAAGACAGAAAGAAAGAAAAAAGGGAAGACAAAGCATAGAAGACGGTGGAAAAAAAAAAAATGGATCTAACCAAGACAATGAAAAAGGGCAAAAGTCAAAAGGAGGAAAAGCATCTCCTAAAGGCAAGTTTAAAACCAAAGAAAATGCTGAGTGCACCTGGGCAGTGACCGACATGAATGCTGCTACTGTGCACGTAGAGTGCAAGCATGGTGACAGTGAGTTCTGGTGCGAATTCTCTGGAGACCCTTCCACCTGTCCACAGTATGCAGCAAACCAGAAATCCTACTGGAAACAAGTCTCCCGATCCCTAAAGAAACAGAAGCAGATCTGTCAAGACCTCAAAAGTGTCCTAAAACCTAAAGTATGTAGGAAAGGCCCACGAAGCGCTCATCTCAAGTTGACCCGCTCAAGTCTGCTAACATCAGTGGGTCCTGCAAAAGGGAACACAATTCATCATGCGAAAGAAGTTGTTCAGACTCCATCAGCTGCCTCTGTGACTGAAAAGAAGCTAGAACACAGTTCTCAAGACTGTGTTGAAGATGTAGATTATATCGATCAGAAAAAGGTGGCTGAGGAATACTGTCCAGAAAGCTTGCTTTCTTTCTGCAACTTTTTTATCACAATGGTGCAAGACAAAAAGTGCTGAGGAAGTGTTTCTAAAGCTCTGTATCATGAAAGTCCAGTCTCATCTAAGTTACTGCAAACTATTCCAGATTTTATTCTCATGTTATATAGTGTATATAAGAAAAAAATGCATATATTTTTCTCAGTTTGTATATACACAACTGACTACAGTTGACATAGATGAAGATGTTATGGATTTTATTTGCACGTAGATTGCTACACAGGTGTTATCAATGGATGTTACAGAGTCTACACAGAAGTATATAAGTAGTCTCCTTGCCCCTCTTTGAGCTGTGCTAGCCAAAGGGATGAATTCAGTGCTATGCACTTCTTGGTTATGTACAACAATTTTGACCTAAAAATTATTAAGAAAAATAAACTTCAAAATATGTTCAAAATATTCTCTCTCTGTGTGTTTGACTAGATTTCTCCGTAGGTGCTAAGCCTTTGTCAACTATTGATCTTTTACACGATCTAGGTGAAGTGTTGCTTTTAGAGCAGTTCTAAATATACTTCTGCACCTTGGTGGACTTCGGCTTTCTCAGCCAGTGCAAGCAACATTTTGATAGGGAGCTACACTATCATTAGTTTTTCATCATCGTGATAATGAAGGGCAACGAGATTTTCAGATTTTTCCATAGTTTTGCAAAGCTTCAGCTTTCCAGTCTCATCAAAGGGTGTCAGAAAACTTAGCAAACTTCAATTCTCTCTTTTCTCCTATGGTATGAAGCACATTATACTGATTTTCTGGCAGGTAAACAGAGATGTAGAGATAAAATGCCTTATACAAGTTCGTACATAGGCCCAGGACTGGACCCTTTACTCAAGCAGCCAAAAGCACTTGTGCTCAGCACTACTCGTATGTTCTTTCAAAGTTCCATTTTCTGTTAACTTTATGTATGGACAACACTAATAAATAACTTTCTATGCGTTAGACTTCATCTATATTAAAAGAAAAAATCAAAACTCTACAAGAATAGAGATTTTAGAAACTGTAAAGCTAAATAATGGCGACTGAGCTTTGCTAATATTTGAAACTCTAGCTAGAAGAAAAGTGATATACAAGTCACTCTTCTCCAGTGGCATGCGGCTGGGAAGGACGGTCTCCTACCACAGCGGGCTACTTGGAGAAATTTGAACTTTCATGACCTGTGATTTTCCTGAGCATTTCTAGCGAATTGAAATAGTATTTCTGTTTCTTGAGAAAATATAGGCAGTTCACTTCTGTAATTATCTCACTGCTAGAATATTTGAGAAAACATTTGTAAGATGTTATGAGTAACTCACCTCCTGCAACTTCCCTCTTCTCCTTCATTGTCACATATACTCACTTTTTATTTAAATGAGCATATCTGGGGCAGGGGGCATTTTAATGCTGCTCTGTCTTATTGCTACAGCAATAAAGGCCCTTTCCATTATTTAATATGAGTTAGTGTTTTCTTTGTAATGAAGAATTAACTTAGCAAAAATACTCCAATTTAGATGGAAGCCCTCAATAAGAGAGGAAAGTGCTAATAAACACACAGCTTTTCTTTGTTTTCGCTTGTTAGTAGGAATTGAGCCTTCTTACACAGGGTTTTGGCAGAATCAGGAAGAAGGCATGGCATCAGCTTGGGCAGTAGCCACAGTATTTTAAAGAGGACAGTATTCTGGAGGCTCTCATAAGTACTTCAAATGATAGTTATTTACATTTTTTTGCTACTTACAATATTGCAATCTCTGTGTGACCAATATTTTGAACGTGGGATGCTGCTATTAGTCAGGCAAACTGGGTTTGAGAAGGATTCAGCTGTATAGTAAAAAAAGAAGCAGGCTTTTCTTATTGAAGTTCCAGCCTCTGGATGTCCTGTGGAAACGCTAGGTATTACCAGGCTGTGCAGGATAAATTCTGTTAGACTAACGCTCACAGCAAAGCAAAATTCCAGTGAAACGAGGAATTAATACTAAGTCCTGTATTAATGTCCTGTGTCCTGGAGGCTGAGGACACAGCCATACTGGTGCCAAGCAAGGTGGAAAACCAGCTACCAGCTCCTTAATAATAAGGCAGATATGTAAGTATTGAAGTGCAGGTGAGTTCCAGCTGCTAGGCACTTTGTGTTTTGGCCTACAACACTTCTCATTAGGAGATCATTGGGATAAGAAAGTCAAAAGATGCAGAGGGAAGGATTAGGAGCACGCATATGGCTCAAACAATTGTACACTGTAGCCATTAATTCTGAACATGTAATCCGATATACAGACACCTGCATAATAATCTCAGATCACAACCAGTGCACTGGGCAGGCCTGGCTTAAGAGGCTCAGTTGCTCCAGATGTTTTGGAAAATGTCCAATCCTAACTACCCTTAGCTGCTGTTACCCTCACGAGTACTACGGTGAGTACTTTGCTGCCTGAAGCGTGATCCACCCCGCTCTGAGCTGCCGGGAGGCACTGCTCTGCCCGTGGCTGCCGGCCAGCCAGGCACACCGAGTCTGCGGTGACATATCCCAGAGCAAATTCCAGCTTGGGATTCCAGAGCTGTGAATTACATCTCTGTGTGCAGGACTATCAGCACCTGGACCCATGTGTGGGAGCTGAACGTTCCTCTCCAGTGATGCATTACTTTTATGCTGCTTCATCTTTGTTTTTTCTTTCAGGACTGACTTTTATCTTCATGTGTGGCTCCTTGCAGGAGGAAAACATTCTCGATCTCAACAGTTCCTGAGTGCATTTCACCTGTGATGCATGCAGTTATGCCAGTATCCTACAAGGACAGTTTGGAGCATCAGGAGGAAAAGGAGATCACTGTGCAGCCTTTTTCTTTGGAAGGTCGGCTAATGTGAGAGTGCAGATCTCAAAACTGCCTCAACTAAAGGATGGATTTTTTAACGTCCATGGGTATGTAGTTTTGGCTGTTCTTCAGAAGGGCATATTTCTGAATGGCTGGGTCTGAGGCAAATATATCTGGAGTCTAACTTCATGAACAGCCTTTTCTGTAATTGCACAGACCACAAGTCTACAGCTAAGTGCATCTAAGTTCTCATTGCATTTACCAAGCCTTGTGTTTCAGTCCTACATCTACAAAGCAATTGCTTGACAGCAATTACATGAGAGTTGCTTTCTTTCGGGCATTTAGAGAGCCAGTTAGGTCAGTATAACTTTGGTGCTTCTGGAGTCAAGCTGGTTAGGATAAATAAAATATTTCCTGGAATTCTTCATCTTACCATCTGCGGTCGTTAGGATAAAGTTCACAGCTGAGCTCTATTCTGTGCCTCTTTTCCCCAGGTGCACCAGTTGCCATTGTGTCAGAACTTCATGTTTGAATAACTTGGAATAATGGTGGTAGTGACTTTTCTAACACCTTCTGTAGTAGGGCAAGTAGGAACACAGTGGAGGAAAACAAGGAATGGATTTAAATTATGTCTGTGCAGCCCAAGTCTTTTGTCGTCTTTTGTCCTTATTGGAAACGTAAGGATCTCTGCTTTCTTAGCGTCAACATCAGTTATGGACAATTAGCCCCATTTTACACCTGGGAAAATGAGGTATAGGAAAACTGGATGACTTTAACAGTCATCGAGAGAAAATCAGTGGCTGAATCAGCAACCAAACAGAGGTCGTCAGAGTTCCAGTGGTCCCCTTCTTACGCCTAATTAGATCATTTTGCACAAGAACTACATTTATTTGTTCTTGAAAATACTGACTTAATTTCTAGGCATTTTAAAATTATTAGGAATATCTTTGGGGAAAAGTAGCTTACTTTTCAGGCAATAAACTTGATTTCTCCAGACAAGCCTGGGTATTATAATTTGAATATTCACTTGGAAAGGATATGGCTTTTGGAGATAGAAAAATCATTCTAGCTTCAAAGATAAATTTCAGAGAGTTTCTCTGCTTTTGTAATATGAAATACTTATACATTTGGTAACTGTTTTAGACTATAGATGATCTTTTTAGGTGGACCCAATACCCCCACAAGTTCTCAAACTCTCACAAAACATTAGAGAGTCAAAAACTTGATTTTTTTTAAAAGGGGAGAGAAAAATTCGAAAGTAAGAGTTTTTCTGAAGTTATCTCCTAACATATGACAGTCTGATCCAGAAAACGTTAGATGTATCTTTGTATTCACTACGAAATGAGGAGACATTTTTAATGCCCAGCAAATAGGTCTAGCAATGCGGTACTACTTAAGAATCTGTAAAAGTTCAGCTCCTTTAACTTTAAAGTTTTTATTTGTTTAATATTTTCAGCAGTGTATTTTCTGCTCACTTTCGCACACAATTTCATTTGAATGAGTTTCCGTTCCTTGTGCAACCTCCTTACTCATTTACTACTTTGGCGGCAGTACAGATTACCTATCTAATCTCGTATGACTACTTGTAGGAGAATAAAGCCGAGTGACTCAACCTTCCTGCTTCCAGGAGCGCCCTACCCTCCTCTTCCCCTGAGGGGGCCAATGAGTACCTACCGCCTGATATCACCTCACCTGAATTTGACCAACCGTAGCAGAGACTGAGTGTTCAGACAAGACACATTTTACACGGCTGTGCTCAATCCATGTAGACGTAGCTGAACCTAGATAATAAACTCCACTCCCTTTTCCATCTTTACCTTTTTTTTTTTTTTCTGATGCTGCCCTGAGCAAGGCAGCTCAATACTTGTTGGTAGCCGCTGCACCTCACCCGTGTCTTTGCCTGGTTTTCATTCCATTTCACTATATTATATTGTTTATTCCTCTAGGCTATTTCCAAGAGTGATAACACTTTGATTGGCACACTGGGAATTGATCAAATGGAAAAATACAGCTTCAAGGATGGGAAGTTCAGCAGATTCCAGCCTGCAGAGGTTCCTTGCAATCTTGTCACTAGGGTGGTGGTACCATCCTGTCCCTGACTGGAGCATGGATATAACAAATCTTATGGATATCAAGACCAACGCAGGTATTCTTGTGTTCTAATATCTCTGAGCTTCTTTCCACTCCCTTCCTTGAAAGAGTAGAGGAACTTTGAACCCCAGCTGCAGTCATCACCTCTCTTCAAAGAGCCA